AAAACAATTTCAGATGGGTGTTTGAATTAACGTTAAAGTTACAGATCATTGTTTTCAAAATGAACAATGACTACTTTTGTATTAAAAATAAGGCCTATCCAGTACTAAAGCTTCTCAAATTTAATACAGTTCGTGACTCGGACATAAGTATTATTTGTCTATGTTGTGCTTTTATTACTCTTGATATAAGATCGTATTTTCATATCTTACACTATTTTTTTTTCGTGAGGGTTAAGAATTTGTTTATTTGTTTTTGAATTTCGTGAAGCTACTCGAGGGCCATCTGCTCTGGCCGTCTGTGGCTTAGCTAGCATGAAATATATGTGGATGCATACATGCAAAACCCTAGTGGGGGTCTGGGGGGCAAGTAGTTATAACCAGTGACATATTCAAATAAAATTTCAATGAACGAATGGGAAGACATTACTTTTATATTTCTTTATATTTTCTGTTTATATATCTTTAAAAATATGTGGATGCTTGAGCATACAGATAGCTACGCCACTGGCTGTCCCTAATTTAGCAGTGATGCAGTAGATGAAGGCAGCTAATCGACATTACCCACCACCAACTGCTAGGCTACTCTTTTACCAACCAATATAACGCCCTCACAGCTGAAAGGACAAGCATATTCGGCGATGAGGATTTTAACCCATGACTCGTAGATTGCGAGTCGAGCGCCTTAACCAACAGCCCATGACAGGAAGTAGGTTAGAGACCCAAACAATAAGGATTACACTAACAATTAAAAGAAAAATCAATTTACTAAAAGTATGTTCCATAAAATTGCTTTTTGTTGCGTTTAAATAAAGTATCTGTGAACTTTATTAGTGGGTTCCTTGTAATCAGAACAGTTAAGCATTATGCGCTAATTTAGAAGAGGAGAAAATATTACACTACTAAAGCTGACGTGCATTCGACATTTTACTGTAGCCTAACGAGTCTAGATATTCTGGTTATTTCACAGTTTTAATCTGCTTAAAAGTTAAAACACATGCATCTAATAACATTTAACTGCAATAGGTGTACTCTTGCCCTATGGGTTGCATAACAAATTTTACGCACGCGTTACATAAAACGAAACATATATCATTAACTGAAATCTCTTTGGCTATATATATGCACTGTTGTTTTACAATAATATACCTCAAGCAATGACTGTCTGAATTTCTAATCAAATAATAAACATGGTTACTACTTTTGACAATGAGGTTGATGATTAGCAGTTCTGTCGGGAGCGAGGGGGATAAAGGGGATCATTGCAAACCCCCATTTCTAAATATAGTACCACACTGTTTTAGAAGGGTGCGCAAATTGCATAACAAACATTTTCTGAATTTAACTGTTATTGCTGATGTGTGTAAATTTTTATTTATTTCCATGATACTTCATCGGGTTTCAAATTAATTCTCTTATCTCTAAGCAGGCCCTCCGACCGGGGGGGGGGGGCGAATAAAACCTGGTTATGCCGTAAAGCCCGCAAAGCACCTTTAGGCCATATCTTCATTTAAATCGTAAAAAAGCATAGTTTTGGCTTTTATTTGCATATAGACGCTTGATACATTAAGAATGATTGAAATAATAATTTCAGTAATAATTAATATATACATATTAATATTAATATATATATATATATATTAATATATATTGGTTACTTTATAGATTTAATACATATTTGTTGTTACTTTATTAACGTTTATTGAAAACAATTAACAATGGAGGTTTTCTTCAGGGACCGTAAATTATTATTTTTGTAGCAGCTTCTCGGGGTCTGTAAATTGTTCTTTCTTTGTTTTGTTCTTATTGCAGTTTCTCAAGGGGTCGTTCAATATTGGCCCGGCACGGCCAGGGGGGTTAGGGCGCTCGACTCGCAATCTGCGGGTCGCGGGTTCGAATCCCCGTCACACCAAACATGCTCGCCCTTTCAGCCGTGGGGGCGTTATATAATTGACGGTGAATCCCACTATTCGTTTGTAAAAGAGTAGCTCAAGAGTTGGCGGTGGGTGGTGATGACTAGCTGCCTTCCCTCTAGTCTTACATTGCTAAATTAGGGACGGCTAACGCAAATAGCCCTCGTGTAGCTTTGCGCGAAATTCAAAACAAACAAACAAACAATCGTTCAATATTATGATAAGAAATATACCTATCACTTTCGCAGCAGGCTTTTTCAGGATTATAAATTTGTTCTTTTCATTAGTATTACAGTTTCTGATTGAACAACTTATCTATGGATTGTAAATACTTATAAGTTTTTCCATAAAGGACTAAATTTTATTCTTTCTCGTGTGTGAAAACTTCTCAATGAGAATAATCTATTCTTTGGGCAGAGATTTCTCTATGAATTTTAAATATAATACTTTCTTATTGTGCACAAACGTTTCTTCCATTAAATTTCTCCAAGGGCAAAATAATTTTGATGAAATTTTTTCGTGAGTATGAGCTATTCTTTGATCATATTTTCTGTCGAATATAGACTATTTAGAATGATAATAATATCTGGATTAGTAAAAAAATCCCTTTTTTCTTTATCGTATATGTTTCTAAGAAACTTAAATTACTTCATAGCTACTGGCTTCATGTTTAAATTATTTAGTTTTACAATATTTTGTGAGGTATCTGTGACAAGTTTTACACTAAGTATAATTTCCTTTCTCTCACAGTTTCTCTAAAGAGTGCAAAACATTTGAGTTGGAGGCCACTGTGAATCTTGAGTTTTTAAAGGTTGAATGCAATGTTCAAGGTAAGATCGTATATACCAACTTCCATAGTTTCATTATAGAGAAGGAAGCTGTGAAGAAGCGATGTGAGGAGAAACTCTCCCAGGTTCCTGACAAACGGTATAGCCTGCTAATCCTGGGTATCGATGCAGTGTCTAGACTTAACATACATAGGCAGCTTAAAGACACTGTGACCTACCTTAAGACCGAGATGAATGTAACTGAAATGTATGGTTACAATAAGGTAGGAGACAACACTTTTCCAAATCTGATCCCAGTCCTCACTGGCTACAGTGAACATGAACTCTCCCAGGTTTGTTGGAATAAGAGTACACCTTACATTGACAAATGTCCATTTCTGTGGGAAAAGTTCGCAAATCAAGGATATCGGACACTTTATGCAGAGGATGCACCTCACATCTCTACCTTTAATTATCTCAAGAGAGGTTTTTATACCCAACCCACTGACTACTATCTACGTCCATTTATTCTCGCTGCAGAAGATCAGCTTGGAAGAGAGAAACCTCTAAACTGCTATCTCTGTGTTGGGCCTAAATCAGAAACTGAAATGGTCCTCGATTGGATGCAGACCTTTGTGGAACAGTTTCATAATCAAACCTATCTAGTATTTGGGTGGATCAACAGTTTAAGTCACGATTTTCTTAACTACCCAGCTAAAGGTGACCACTTCTATTACCGATTCTTCAAATACCTCCATTCAAACGGACTACTGAACTCCACAATTGTTATTCTTCTCAGTGACCATGGTATGAGGTGGGGAGGAATCAGATCTACATATATTGGTAAACTTGAAGAACGTCTGCCAACTTTAATGTTTGTCTTTCCTAAGTCTTTCCACCAACAATACCCTTCAATAATGGAAACTATATACTACAACACCCATCGACTAACTACTCCTTACGACCTTCATGCAACCTTAGAGAATATTCTGAACTTCACAGGGAGCTCTCGACCGGTAGACATTCGGTCTGTTCCCCCACAGCTTATGAGTAACTACAGTCAACGTGCAGTGTCATTGTTTGAAAAAGTTCCTAAAGAGAGGACATGCGAAGAAGCAGCCATTGATGAACACTGGTGTACGTGCATTCAGTCACAGAAGATTTCTACTAACAGCACTGAGGTGTTGCCCGTTGCAATGTTTTTACTTGAGTCATTAAACAATATTGTGAAAGCCAGGAGTGATGTATGTGCCTCTCTCTCGTTAGTTGTTGTTCGATCAGCCCGCTACGTGGCACCTAAAGACCATCTTCAAGGAGTCAAGGCATCTCATATTCATGACTACACACTGACTATTCAAACAAGACCTGGGGATGGGGTCTTTGAAGGAACCGTACGTGTTGTGCCATCCAAAAAACATTACGAGCTTCTCGGGGCTATTTCTAGATTAAATCTTTATGGAAATCAATCATACTGCGTAAGTGATGCTAATTTAAGAAAATATTGTTACTGTAAAGAGCAATTACATTAGGTTTCCATAAGATAAACTAAAGACAATTTTAAATGTAACTTGTCAGTAAATTAATATTGTCAAATAAACACATTCTTATATCATACAATTAATCACGAGTATAAATAAAAATTCTACCTTACCTCCATATTGTGATGAAGAGGAGCTATCCTTACCTAACAATTAACCAGTCTTTCCTTATCGTGCTACAGAAGTACCAACCTAGTTTAGCAATTAAACTATTTTCCCTTATCATACTATAGATATGATAAAACTCAAAACCATTTTAACTTGTTTTATTACAGAAAACTTTCAATCTCATCTAATAACTAACCAATTTTTTCCTATTGTACTGTAGGAGTGACAACCTTTTTTACAATTAAAACCTTGTTCCACAGTAAAATGAACTTATATTATGGTCCAGCATTACTAATGATGTATTCTATAAAATAACGAATTACATAACAACAACGTCGTTTTCTGTTGTACTGTAGGGAGTACTAGATCTAATTTAATAATTGATATGCTTTCTCAAGTTATGGTGTAAAATATATTTATTTGGTTTAACAAGTAAACTGTTTTCTTTGGCTGCAGAAACCATTTTGTCCAAAATTAAACATTTGTTTTGTACTCTAAACTATAAAGTATCTATTTTGTAAAAAAATTAAATCAAGTCATTGTTCAATATAACAAGTACTGGTCTAGTCCAAAAAGCTTATCTTTCTGCTTGTACGTATTGTTGTATTGTATAATTTACAAGTCTAGTCCAAATAAGATTTTATTTCAGCTTGTTCGTGTTATTGAACTTTATATCTTGAAGTACCAGTCTAGTCAACGATTATTCTTCAGCTTGTAGACATAATTTTACTTTATATCTTAAAGTACCAATCTAGTCAACGATTATTCTTCAGCTTGTAGACATAATTTTACTTTATATCTTAAAGTACCAATCTAGTCAACGATTATTCTTCAGCTTGTGGACATAATTTTACTTTCTATCTTAAAGTACCAATCTAGTCAACGATTATTCTTCAGCTTGTGGACATAATTTTACTTTATATCTTAAAGTACCAATCTAGTCAACGATTATTCTTCAGAATAATCGTTGACTAGATTGGTACTTTAAGATATAAAGTAAAATTATGTCTACAGGCTGAAGAATAATCGTTGACTAGATTGGTACTTTAAGATATAAAGTAAAATTATGTTTACAAGCTTCAGATTATACACATTAGGATATGAAATATAATTACAGCTCAGTTATCGAACTGAAGATGGTCCAAAGTAATAAAAAATATTTTCAAAGAAAGATTTAAAAGAAGTGATAAAGCTAAAGGTTCAAAATCAAGGTCAGAGTTTTAGAAATGATTTAAATTTTCCAGTTGGTAAAGGATCTTTGAAGAGATAGAGATAAAAAAAACACAAAATATCCTCCATGACTGCCTATGAAATTAGAAGAGAACAAAATTAAGTAACAATCTATGGAAAACAAACAAAGTCCGTGAAAGAGTTGAATTTTTTTTTTCATAAGAAAATAAGCTAGAAAGTCAATTAACTGAAGAACAGAGAAAAAGCAACAGTAATCTAACTGATTCTTGTCAATAATTAATCTGTGACTACGCCACGGACTCATTTCATCAATGATCTTAATTTTAAATTTACCGATATTTGACTGCCTCGACTGCACTTTTCTGCCTCTTTGTTGGTCAAGCTTAATTTCGCAAAGTTTATTTATTTCAGTTAGTTATGAAATGTGAGTTTAGGGTACACTATGGGGTGGGGGTGGTAGTACTTGCCTCGTCTTTTTTGACGGGCTCTACGTAAGGAAAATATAAGGGAGTGAAGTATGTGGTATTTACACACAACAACTGTATAATACTAAACAAACAAAACCACAGTAGTTAGTTAACTTATGTGTAGCTGTATAATGCTGTAAAATTATCAGTACATTAAGGTGAAGCCAATAAACTGGAGTTCCAACTTTACAAAAAATATTGTCTTATTGTGTTATTTTTTAAAAATTCTGCTTAACCTTAGAATACTATCAAATTATCATTGTAATTGAAATCTTTCATAACAAATTATGATGCTGTTTGATAAATCACTGTAGTAAGTTAGGTACTTAAATTGTGAGTAAAAGCTCAGTAGCGCTTTGTTGGTTGTTTAACCTCAGCTTCTTTTCAAAAATCAGAAGCATCTCATTCACCAGTAGCATAACCTCATTTCAACTTTACAGATTACTTTTAATATTGTGGGAGGATGGGACCACATCACATTCACCTAGTGCACCTTTCAGGTTTACAGGACGAGATCTAGCTAAGATTATGTGGTGTTCTCATTAGAGCTCTTGATACTCAGCTAAGTTAGGCGAGTGATTCTTAAGAAACATTCCTTACGTTTCACCTCAAAAGAATCACTTGATATCTGGGAAGGCAAGGAATGCAAAACTCTTTAAACCGAGTTTTCGAACTACTACCTATCATCTTCAGTTGTGAAAACTGTTGATGAACTAGGTATTATAGCTCATTAGTTCAAAAAGTAAGAGCTAAACACCATTTCAACTGAGTTTCAAAATTCTAGCTGTCATATCCAACTGTACAATTTGGAGATACACTAGACATTACAATTACTGGCGCCAACCGTTCTAGCTTTGTGGTAATTAAATGGAAATCACACAATGTAGTGCATATATTATATGGTGAATATCACTTGAATGCTTAGAAAGGACTAACATTTCCTTGGTAATCAGAGCTGAGTCTTGCCTCTAGATCTATTGCTTCACTGTCTGACACACTCTGATTGACCAGATATTTATTCTCACCTCTTTCCTCCTCATTTTTAGGGTTGGGGTGATATAAAGCAATGGCTTCATCCTCATCTCATTCGACTATCTTCTATTCTGACTCATGGTCAAGCCAGTCTACCAGAGATTTGCTGGCCATGTATGGATGCAACTGGGGGTTTAAAATTTAAATAACCATTTCAGCAATGCATGATCAACTCAATCAGTGAATTTTTGACCACACAAATAGTGCCAAAAGTGTTTTATAAAGGCAAAAACTACAAATATATTTTTTCTGTTATACACTATCTGCATTAGGAGCCATGAGAATATGGCTAGCATATATTATTACACATTCTATCCTGTCAAGCAAATGAGATAACACTACTCTGATTCGATTATCACGTTTGTTGGCATTCATCAGGAACTCACAAACTTGCCATGGATATGCCAACAACAGGGTTTCCACTAAAGCATACTTCAAGGTTCGAATGAAAGCTTACATTCCTCACTTCATCTGAAGCACATCTCCACCTTAAGAAGAGTCACAAGAAGTTGGCCACAAACCATCGGCAATACAACAAAAAACCAAAGAAAATTGTGGATTTCCTATTTGGTCACAGGTTGCGGTCAATCTTGCACCACTGTTATTTTTTAGTAGGATTCGTGGAGGTTACTTCTGTAAAGGTTAGCGCTCAGGTGAGCTTAATTGTTGGAGTTTCAATTAAAACCAATCTTTACACCAAATTTATTTATTGGAGGATTTGTCGTGACGAGTGGAGCCACAAGTCGCTAACTAGGAGTTTACAGTTAGACTAAAGAATATGAATCTCAGACCAACAGTATACATTCAAAAATAATATTTATTACCACCAATTACTTGTTATAAAACCATTACACAGTTAACATACAAGTTATCAAAACATTACTGATAAAACTTTACTATTTAGACTTAATACTTCTTACACTAGCT